CACCTGAGGATTTGGATGAGGTAGATTTTCTGATTTTACCATAAATTTACTCCACTGCCATCTTCCATAACATTTCGTAACGTGAAAATATACTTTTCAGAATTAGATAGGAGTTAGAAACTACCGCGAGAAATATCACCCTGAGACCTCGACATGTATGGCCAGCCAGCCCCACCTAGAGGCCGCCCGGCCCACTGTCAGCGCTTCTCGTGTCCTGTCAACTCTCTCGTGTCTTCTAGATCCTTCCTCTTCGCAATCCCATAGTTTTTCGACGCATTCTATTTTTCCTCGTTACGAGACCTCATATGGATAGATCTTGACCCCTGTCGCAAGTTGAACCCCCCTATATAAATGAGCCCCTGCTTCCATAGCCATCCCATTAAAGCTTTCTCCTCTAATAGTAACAAAGCTCTCATCCTCTTTAGTTCCAATGGCCGGTAGAGAGATCATACCCTACGGAGCCGATCTTAGCAAGAAGCCTGATGCACTGGCGCTGATCGCCTTCCTCCAGAAATTACCCCTATTTGCTCAAATCAATCTTACTAGGCCCAAGCCGTTCACCGCCCACTAATCGCTCTACCACCATCGTAGCTACGTCTTGAAGGAAAGCCTCTCCAACAAGAGCTAAAGCTAGACGCCTAGAAGCTTTTCTAGGTGACAAAGGAGATCAATTGTCTTTCGCCAAAGGATCATGAGGTGCTGACTGGAGTGAAGACCTACAAATTTGGAGATATTACTTGTGCGAAGTACCGGTCGGTCACCCCTCGTACAATCGTTGATGGAGCTCGGGCTCTACCGGATCAGATCAAGGTTGTTCTCCGAAGGAGAGGAAGAGGAAGGCGCCATCACCACCTGACCATCCAAGGATGACCATTGCCCTTCTAGAGAAGAAGATTGAAGACCTCTTTGATGTAGTTTATACCCTAGAGCAGAGGCTTGTCGAAGAACGTGTTCGTCGCAAGAGCATAAAAGAAGACCCAAATGCTTTAAATCACTTCGTTGTCAAATCTAGGAAGGAGAATTAGATAGTCATTTTGATAAGGCACGAGTGTAAGGTTAAAATGTGTGATATCATGTGTTTAGGTTTGTCGCTTAGCTCAGATGTTAGACTAGTCGAAAGTTTGTGTTAGCCAGATAAAAGTTTGTGCTTGTGTAATAAAGTGCCTTATTGAAATTAATGGAGTCATATTTTTATTTGCTCTCTATTTCTTTGTATATGTGTTTGTCTCCACATGTTGTGCCGAAAGTTATACAAGGAAACAAGTGCGGGGAGACACACTGCAACAACAAGACGTAATTTAATCACGAAAATCATGAAATTCGGAAAAGTAATAAGTCAAGAACCATGTACAACAAAGCGGGCCTCGAGCAGACCCTAGAGTGGGCCGCCCGGCCTCCTCTATGGGCCGCCCGACCCATCACTGCACCGCCTCTCCTCGCGTTTTGTCCATAGTCAGGTTTGTGGCCCATACACTCTGTTTTCACATGTTTTGCTTTCTGTTTCGAACCGAATTGAAAATCATTTGATAAAACAACTTAAAACATGAGGAAAGGTTATTTCAGTCATGACTTAAGGATAGACTTACATAATACTTTTCCTAAAAGTCATGCTACCGTTGGGAACTTATTATTAGAGACCCCATGTCACTTAAGTTGTTGTGGAATGAGATATAGTAGAATAATGAGAACTTGATTCTTGATGTCTTGTTATTAGAGAATTTTATTTCAAAAAGTAAAATGAATAGATACACCTCTCCTTTGAGGTAAATAATGTCCTACTAGAGCCGTACATGATATATAGACTAGGGAAACCTTCTACATATACTATTTATCATGGTGTTAAGTTTGGTCAAACCTTGTGACCCTTGTTGAGAAACTTATCATGCTCTCACGATCAAGATCACGTACACTCCACATATATCTGCTGCTCCTACACTAAGAGTATGCAACAACATGTTTTTCATCCACCCAAAACTATTCTACTCCTACACTAGGAATAGACACAAAAATATGATTGTTAGGATATAAGCTCCAAGTTCTTGTAAATGTCTCTCTTGAAAAGTTTCAATTGCAGAAAAATAAACATGGGCTATGCAAAAGTTATTCATGAAAGAAAAAGAAATGAAAAAAATAGACAAGTGTCCAAGATATCTAAAAGAATGGGTACTTAGATGCCTGCCTAAAAAAAGAGAAAGATGAATAAGATAGCCCATGTTTTCTTACAAAAAGTTTTTCAAGTTTTAATCAAGACAGAGGTTTCAAGGAGTATAGTAGAATTAGGTTAGCCACCATATACATATTCCACACACATGCACATTTTTTATCTAAGAGTATGACATCTTTCTCTTTGGATCCTTGTTTTGACTTTATAAATGCAAGTATGTTCTTACATTTATCTCTACCTGAGCTCCACATAAAGCTTTAAAAAGTAGGTAAAAAGAAGGCAAAGTCATTAATGCCTTGGTGAGGATCCAAAAATACTACATATATAGAGTGATTTGAGAGTATCGCAAAAGGAGAAGGTGAGCTATGTTTTGTTTTCAAAAATCTTAAAATATTTCTCTAATTGACTTGACTGATGGAAGATGTTGATCTATTTCAAGCTGTTCCACTCTTCAACCGCCCAAAGTTTCATGGTAGACACTTTGAGTCCCACAGTGCATGTATGACTAAGAATGATTTTATGTTGATGCCTTGTCCTAAGGTTATGTCTTAAGTAATCCATTCTTTTATTGAGGACGAGTAAAAGCCTAAATATGGGAGAGTTTGTTGATGGTAGTTAACATTCATCATAAACCGTCAATATACCTTGCATAAATGACTAAAATAGATCACCAACATAGACTTAGTGGTTTAAACTGATAAATTCCACGAGTTTTGGTGAATCTGTATTTCCAACAGGATTTAATCAGAAAATCATCAAGGGGACCTATTCGTCAAAGGAAATCACGGAATTTCACCGTGGGATCAATGTGGGAAGGTTCTAGAAGACTCCAGAAGGCTCTCCATCGAAGCAGGTCTCGACCCACCAACATGTGGGGCCAGCCGGCCCCACTTAGAGGCCGCCCGACCTCCTATGGGCCCCACCTGTCATCCTCTTTGTTATATCGGTTCTCCACAGCCTCCTAGGATGCATCTTCGCCGTTTATTCAAGTCGGTTTGATCCGAAGGCTCAGGATTGACGCTCCGACCTATATATATCTGCCTGTACCCCCCTAGGGCAGATGTCTCATTTGATCCTGAGAGCTGAGAAGCCAGAAACCCTAATTCATATGTCCACCAGGATCAGGGCTACCAATCAATAGAAGATTAGTCCTCGAATGATCTAGTCTTGTATTAGAGATAGAGAGATAGAGTTAGAGGAAAGAGTTTTGGAGAAGTCCCGGCCTGTCGATGCTCTCTCTACGGCTTGTACCCTGACAGAATCAAGTTTTTTTGAGCTTTCTTCTGAGATTTCTCTAGTAATCGACTTCTACTTCAAGTAAGCATTTTGTTTATATTATTCTTTAGGTTTGTGACTCTCTTTTGAGTACTTTAATCCTTATAGCTCCTGGGTTAATGTAGTATTCGTAGTGTAAGCGTGGTGCTTAGACTCAGTTACTCATGGATGTACCCTATTTTTTGGATCGGTGGTAGCTCGCGAGGGTGACTCTTATAGCCTCGTTGAATCCTCTGTATTCCACCTCCCGTTAGTAGGCCTAGCAGTACTTTGTTACTATAGGAAACATACTCTGCTTGTGTTTTTTCTAGTAATATCCCGAATTGAACAATAGAAGATAAAAGCTTACCGAAGTTAGAACTAGAAGACCTTAGCAGTCTCCTCTACGCTCCTATTATCTAGCCTTGATTGTGAAGTTGAGTTAAGTTAGAATTGGTTATTCTCACCCCCGTTCCTTTGGGTTCGATATAAAATTGGGTTACTCTCGGTGAAGTGCTACAACGGTATAATATCTGTGCGCTTGTGGATTATTCTGTGTGCATTAATTTATACAAACAGTGAGCAAGCTCGTTGAATTCGGGTCCACCTCATCTATAGTCTCTCATCCTTCTGCGAAGACTCCGTAAATATTATTCTCTGTCATTCCGTTGCTCGAGCCTCAGACAAAAAACATCACGCGCTTGCCTCCCATGCTGCCGCGCCTCTAGCTCCACTCGCGGCACCGCTCCCGCTCTTGCCTCCCCTTCCTCTCTCCCCTCTCCCTCTCTCCCCACGTGGTGGCGTACCGACCGGCCCCGAGCGCGGACACTTGTACGCACTGTACGCGACCGGAGTTCTCAAACCGCCGCTGTCGTCGCCGCCGCGCTGCTGTCGCATATAACGCTTCCTCGTCCGAGCCGTCACCACCAAATCTCCTGGCAACGCCCCACGTCTTCTAGGTCTAACTCCCTCCGCCTGGTGTGTATCTTTCACCTGGCGCTGCCAACCCTAACCCAACTCTCCTTTCCCTAGCCCATCCAGGGGAGGGCCTAAGGCCCCAGGGCCCAGGCCTTAGTCGTTGGCCCAGCAACTCTTTATGCCCCATATAATTTTTAGGCCCATTAGGCAAGGCCCATTGCCAAAAGGACTAGGGTATGCTTCTGGCCGTCCCACACCCGAGGTCCGAGGCCTCGACCGCGGCCCCATTGCCCCAACCGCCGCCCACACGGAGCCACGGACACCGGACGCCGGACGGGAGAGGAGAGAAGCAGAAGCGGGCGCCACTGCGCCGTCCGCCGTCCGTTGAGGTCGTCGGGTGCCAGCCTCCGCGGCTCCGCCACCGCCCACCGCAGGCACACGCGCCGGGGTTGGATAGGTCGACGCCGCCGGTGCCCAACAGGCCGCAGAAGGAGGCGCCCCGCGTCGTCTAGTTCTAACTCCAGCCTCGCTGCCGCAATCACCTCCGCCTGGTGTGTCTCTTCCACCTCGCACTGCCATAGCCGACAAACCCTAGCCCAACTCTCCCTTCCCTCGCCTATCCCACTCCTTTCGTCCGATTCGAGGAGGCGAACGGGGCTGGGGCATGGCGACCGATGGGCAGCTCAGGGAGTGGGTCTCCGACAAGCTCATGAGCCTCTTGGGCTACTCCAAGAACGTCGTCGTCCAGTACGTCATCAGGCTTGGTACGCTGCGTTCGTCGAGCTCCTTCCTTTTCATGTTGCTCGATTCTGTTCCTCTTCTGTTCGTTGTTGTTCTTACTATGGGATCACGTGCGTGCATTCCCAGCGAAGGAGTGCTCTTCAACCGGTGACCTCGTGGGCAAGCTCGTCGAGTTCGGGTTCACCTCGTCTGCGGAGACCCGTACCTTCGCGTCGGATGTCTACGCCAAGGTTCCCCGCAGGGCCAGCGGCATCAGTGTATGTTTCAACTTCCTTCTTACATTATTCTTCCCGTCTCATTTTGTGATGGTTCCTTGTTCGTGGATAAAATACTTCTTTTTGTTTGCTCCAGAATTACCAGAAGCAGGAGAGGGAGGCGGCAAAGCTTGTCCAGAAACAGAGCACTTACAAGCTGTTGGCCGACGAGGACGACAATACTGACAACCAGACACCAACAAGTCAAAAGACCTCAACAAATCCATCATCTAAGAGTCGGAAGCATTTCAGGAGGAAAGCAGATCAAGACAGTGGTGATGATGTATGACCCAAGTGCTAACAGCCCCCCCCTCCGCTTTTACATAGAATGACTCAAATTGAGATGTTATGTTTAGGAAATAGTAGCAAAAGATTCTGGAAGGAATGTCCGTCGGCGAACAGAAGAGGAGGATGAAGAAGGTGGCGACAGCCGTTCTGATGTATGTCTTCTTCTAGGACTAATATTTTGTTGTACATTAAAGTATGGAATTATTGATTTGTCAGCTACTACCTCGACCCCAAAATATAGCTACTTCTGGGTTTGTTTTAAGTCAAAAAACTATATGTTAACTTCAACCAAGTTTGTACAAAAATAATTAACATATATGATACCAAGTTTGCGAAAAAACTATACAGAGAGAGTAGTATTTATTGTTGAATCTGATTTATTTGATGCCTTGTAGGAAGAGAAAGAAAGGATTAGAGATCAGCAGGAAAAGGCCCAGCTAGAAAGGAACATGAGAGAAAGAGATGCAGCTAACACAAGGAAGGTAATTATCCAATTAGCTGATACTTCTTGCCTTGTGTCTATTTCTTTTGGAGAACAAACAGATTATAGTCGTAGAGTTGAAAAGTATATTCCAAATGAAAACACAGAAGACCATAAAATCAAAATATGACAGGATCTTGATTGCCCAAATATGTATTTTGATCAGCACTTTCAGTGTTGATATTTTTTGATGCTCCAATTGTAGGAATACCATTTAGTTAGCAATATATCAAAGTTCAGGAAACATTTCTGCTTCTTGTGAGCTTTACAAAGTTAAAATGAATCTAACGAAGCTGTGCTTTTCCCCTCACTCTGCCATCTGGCGGTAGCAATATATCACTTGAGGTTAGTTCACAGTTTGATTGATGGTTCTGGGAGCCCAAAAATAGTAAGGTCACTTGTGAGTTTTGCAATTTTTACATGCTGAGAAACAACAATACCTCACAAAGTTCTTCCAGCAATCATGTTTCTGATCTTCTTAGTTTGTACCTTTATTCAGTTTTCTTAGAAAATAGCTGTCTTATAAGGGAGGTGTGATGTTTAATTGATTGTTCCTGGACATCCATATGAAGGGAGAAGGTGAACCTTTTTTTTCCCAGCTGGATCTTTTTCTCGAACCAGCAGAAGAGCTGTCCGTCATTATACTATATTAAGAAGATACAAGGTACAAAACAACCACAGCAGGGAATTTACACACACACAACCCACACAACTAAACTCAAAAAGATAATGAAGAAAAACCCAAGAGGGGTTATAGAAGTGCAAGGTAGAACACTTTTAAAGGATCTAGCAGAACTCCGAGCCAAAGGGATTCCAACTCAACGCCTCCTGCACAACACCTTCCAGTGGAGCCCTCTCAAATCCCCTGATGCTAGGGTTTTTTCCTCGAAAAACATATTCGTTATGGTGTTCCCCAATGTTATCAAGTCGTCTAGTTGCTATGGGACTGACCAGGTGACTAGTCACGATTAGTTGTCGACCAGAGCCCTGGTCGGTCCTAGTCGTCCTATATATTAGTGTCTCTCTCTCTCTCTCTCTCTATAAGATAACTCTATGGAGGTGGCTGCATGTAGGCTTGCAAATTGGGCTAAAAAACATGAGCTCAAGTGGTCTAAGCCATCCCAGATGCAGCCCATGTCCTAAGCTGCCCAGCAATTCCATTCTATTTCTGGTTGTCCACCACCTAGTTGTCCGAGTAATCGGACGACCGGAAAACTAATCAGCCTAATTGAGTTGTAGCCCCTAGTCGAGTCCAGGATACTGACTAGGACGACTAATCACGATTAATCGGACGACTTGATAACACTGGTGTTCCCCAAGGGACCATATTACCGACATGACCAAAGACCCTTGCACCAACGAGTATTAGCCAAAAGCATTGCCTTGAGACACCAATTTTGGTTGGATAGAAAATATTGGCTCCTGGGCAATGCCTGGACTAAACCAACTGACTGTAGGATTGCCCAAGCCTGTTTGGTGAGGATGCAACTGGATCTAGATATTGGTTCCTCTTATAATTATCTATTTTACTCCAGATGTTCTATGGACACAATCATGTTGCAGTCATGGATTTCGTGTATTCTAAATCACACTGAACTGTACTAGCATACAACAAGTTCTTCTTTTGAAGGAATCTTGTTGATGATTCCATACATTGCTTCTCTGTTTTAGAAATCATGTTGAAATGTTTTCTTCCCATAAAAAGAGTAGCTGGATAACAAGTGATGTGACTTACTTGATTTGTAAATTTTATGATTTCTAGAATGTAGATTTGGATGTGCCTTTTGGTTTAACGCATTAAGCCAAATAGTGACCTACTATTAACAGTTGTTTCATTTTTTTCCACCACGGACAAACCAAATTTCATCGGACAAATCGAATTTCATTACTATTACGCAATGAAATTACAGGTGTTCAACGTACGCCACGTTACCACACAATTGTTGCTTCATGGGGGATAGCTTTACTTTGATTCTTAACCTTGTACATTTTTTTCTCTCGCCATTTGTAGTTTAATTTTTGTGTTATACTTGATGTATCTGGCAACAAATTTAATCAAGTTATTTCATGATTTGACCTCCATCTAGTCCACTAAATGTGCAGGGAAAGTTAGGTGCGACTGAGAATTCTAGAAAGTAACCATGAGAGCTTGATAATAAAATGGATAAATGTTCAGTTCACCTGTGTGCCAAGTCAATATATCTGGATAACTTTTGTGATGTTCCTTTTCTTAAGATAGTTTATGGGAAGGTTGACTCCTGATGGTTGGTCGTGATTCGTGCATCATTTGCCTACTAGATTTGCACAACACATTCTTCTGGATGTCATGACTTTATTTCTTTCTAAACATATTGTTTTACGTGAAGTTTTAAACTGATACTTTTGTTACTTGGTTTGTTTCCTTTAGTTGATGGAGCGACAATTATCTAAGGAAGAACAAGGTATGACGCTTGAACCTATATAGTTCACACGTCAGCTTAATTATTTATCTTCGCAGAATGTTATTGATACAAGGTCATTGACAGAAGAGCTTACTAGAAGATCTCAAGCAATGGACAAGAATGACACATCTGATCTGAGGTTTTCACCTTGCAACTCCAATTAGTTTTCAGTTGACTTATTGTCATAACTTTCTTTTGCTGTCTTACCAATTGCTTTGATAATTAATTAGCTTAATTTACTTGATTCATTGCAATATTGAAAAAGCGTGTTACTGGAAATAATTGCCACATAACAATGGAACTTTCAAGTTAGGAAAAGAGAACAAACAATGCAATAAGAATTTAAGAGAAATTGTATTGAATTATGACTGGAAATAATTTAGAAGAAGTGTTGAATTGTGAGTCCAATTGTTCATTTTTTCTAATTTTTATGGCGGTTTCAACTTTGAGAGAAGCGGTAGAGTCTTACCGCCTGTGACCGGAAGGTCCCGGGTTCGAGTCGCGGTCTCCTCGCATTGCACAGGCGAGGGTAAGGCTTGCCACTGACACCCTTCCCCAGACCCCGCACAGAGCGGGAGCTCTCTGCACTGGGTACGTCCTTTTTCAACTTTGAGAGAACTTGTTTCATGTCGAAAAAAACTTGACCAACCTAGGAGGAACTAGGTGTAATTACATCTTAGACGCAATAGGCAGCGATTAGAGTTGAAGAGGACTGAACCCTTGGTCGTAGGGGTGTACAACCATACCACCCACCCAGCTAGGATTAGTTCCAACTTGTTGGTTCAGGAAAGTCAGCTACTTGCATCCTATTGATATTGTTGACAATCAAAATTTGCCAAAAGAGGTAAACCTGGGCTGATTCTGGGAAAACTTGTTTCCCGAATTGGACTTCACCATTGTGTTTATCTTGTCGAGACGATCAAAATGCATATATAGAAGGCCAAATTTGGAGTCTGGATGAGGAAATTACGTTCCAGGGAAGATCCAGCCTGTGGAAACTGGTTTCCAAAACAGGATAAGCCAGTTTTGAAACCAGCCCAGATCTGTTTGAGTTGTGTTTTGGTACCATTGTAAGGGATCTCGACCCCGCACGGGATAAGTCCACCCCACTATATAAATATAAAGGGCCATGGCCGATTGAGGGCATCCAGTCGATCAAATCAATCTATGGTTTTTTAATCTTTTTACCTTTTATGGCTTTTACCTTTTCCTCTTTGCCCTAATCTCTTCCACCCCCCATATGCTGTTCTACAAGCATCTCGATGGTGGTTGTGAACGTCCTAGGTACCCTTGATGACCCTAGAACAACCCTAGGTGTGCCTCCCTGACGCGCTCCTTCTGGGTAGGCATTTCTAGGTTCTTCGTGGCAGATCTTCGCGCTTCGTCGGGAATAGATCCTCGAGCAGTCCTCATGCGATCTGAGCATGCTAGCCCTTTGGGTATAGGACCAGATTTGCGTCGACAGATATAATGAACCTTGTGGTGGATTATACATTCCATGCATCCAACCGAATGCTTAGATTCTATAGTAGAATGGTGAAACCACAATATTGATTATTTACTTCTGATGCTTATGATTTGTGACTAGAACCAGGTATTGAGTAACATCTAAGTTTGAAACATATTTGATATGGTGGTGTTTCAGTAGAAGTTTGGTGTACTGAAAGAAGTAGGTGTAACAGATTAATAGTATAGATGAAACATGGACTCGTTCTTTCTCTTGGAAATTGAATGGTTGTTTGTGCCCACTAACAAATAATTACTGTGCTGCTTTTGTTATATAGTATTCTTGTATTCTTTAGGTACCATAATCGATGATTGTATTGCCTTTGCTACTGTTGCATGTCTTATAGTTATTTTCTTTAATCTGGACATTTACTTTATCCCCTTTGCTACTGTTGCATGTCTTAGGTACAAAGAAGATTCAAGTTACAAATCAAAAAGATTTTGAGATTACTTTGTAATGACTTCACTTTGTAATGTCTTTCTCTTTAAATCAATGTGCAGAAAATTCTCAAGGCAAGCATACCTGCAAAAGCGACGGGACAAAAAAATTGAGGAAATTCGGTCAGTACAAGAATACTTCTTATATGTGGGTTAATTACTGTAGATTTTGGTGTCTAGATGTTTGATTGTGCAGGTACTAACATTGTTTTTGTGATATATATGCAGTGATGAAATTGTGGACCACCAGTACATTTTTCAGGATGTGAAACTAACAGAGGCAGAAGAAAAGGAGTTGAGGTAACAACTAAATTAAGTTCTACTATGGAGATAAGATATCTCTGAAGCTAATTATGTTTTCCTTTTTTATTAGCTTTGTGCATACATTTCTAGACTCTGCATTCGCATGTAAACCCTGACATGAACTGGTTTGTGTCATTGCGTGTGTAGATACAAGATGGATTTATATGGTCTTATCAAGGAACATGTTGAGACTCCTGATGATGTTGGTGAGGTATGTTTTCTTCTTGGATCGATTTGCTCATTTCATAAATGTTAGTTTGGATGTCTGATCATGTTTGATTATTTGAAGTGCATTAAAATATTCCAAATTCAGTGGTTCTATTAAAAAAAGACTCCACCTGCAGGGGTAAGACAGCCCCCGGGCATTGCATTATCTCACGCAGGTCGAGAAAACCCTGAACCCCTGCCGCATCCATACACAGCGGCACCATAGTCTATGTGACAATGGCCACGATCGGGTCCAGACCTTTTCATGTGGGATAGAATTGGGAACAAACAAGCATGTATGTGCTGCACTAGTATCTAAAATTCTAGCTTACACATCACCTTCATGGTGCCTAGAATGTGCATATGTCGTCGCCGTGTCCGCCATAAACGCCTAGGCATTGCGGAGGGGGGGTAGGGCGCCACGCCTCGTCACAGCGCCTCAAAAACCATGCTTAGGACCATACAACATGCTGTACACATGTTTATTAGTATCTTTAATGTCAACGAGTTTATATACATGCATTTCAGTACAAAATGCCTGAAGCTTATGACATGGGTGAAAATGTCAATCAAGAGAAGAGATTCTCTGTGGCCATGCAGCGGTACAGGTAAGGTTTACATTAGGACCCCTTATGTGCATGATTGCATGCAATTTTCTAGTTTATTCGTGCGTCCTGATATTTTCATGAACAAGCAGAGATCCTGAGGCCAAGGATAAAATGAACCCTTTTGCTGAACAGGAAGCATGGGAAGAACACCAAATAGGTGATGCCGTATATCTGAAACAAACTCCCACGTCTTTCAGCATGATCTCTTTAAGTGTTACCTATGGTCTTCGCTATATATTTCGGAAGAGACTGACATGGAAGAAAACTATGTACTTATTCCAGGAAAATCGAAACTGCAATTTGGATCCAAAGATAAGAAGCCGTCTTCAGATGAGTATCAGTAAGTCGCTCTTTTTGTGCTAAGTTAATCAGTTGTGCCACTAAAGAAAACCATTTGTCTTTTTATCCATTTATTCAAAATCTTTCCTCCTAAAGGGCTGCTTCAAATTATACTTTTTTTTGTGTGTGTGTGTGTGGGGGGGTGTTGTGAATGGAAGTGCCTTGATGCTTTTGGATCACACTCTGAAACCAGTGCTGGTTATAATATGCATTTTAGAGAGTTGTGTTATAAGCTCAGAGGCTACCCTACGAAGAACATGCCCTACAGTTTATTATTCTTAAACATGCAAGAGAGCTGTGTATCATTATATTAAGAAGAAATAAAGGGGAAAGATCCAAGGGAGGGAGGCTTGACCAAAGATCAATCTAGGCTTGGCAAAAGGGCTAAGAGGTGGGAAATTCCTCGAACCCTGTCCAGATCCAAAGTTATAGTTCACCATGGTGACGATCTACCAAAATGGAGAGGAGAGGGAGGGACGAAAGGTCACAGAGGAGAAAGGAATACCAGGAGATGAGGAGGTGAACTTGTGGGTGGGGAGGCTCTCACTCCACTTTCTCTCATCCTCGGTTCCAGTGCAGTGCCCATTAAACCTGAGTCCTGTGAGCGCTGGAACCAGCATGTTGGGGGCGTAGATCTACCCCTGTTCAACTGCAATGGTGACAATCTGGAAGGGGGTGGTGGTGGTGCTCCATTTGAGCAGGGGAAGGGGATGATTCATCGCCAGCAGAGGTGCTTTGGAGTGGTCACAGGATGACTGGATGAGAATACGAGACGGTTAGCCGAAAACAAGACGTATGGTCGGGCAGCCATGTTTGATTGGACTCGAAGTACCCAGACAAGCTGTTCTGCCGTGCAGGATGCCAATGACCACAAACAAGAACCGGGAGGGTCATGTGCAAGCCTCAACTAATGTCTGAGCTGAAGGCAAAAAGCGATAGTCCTGATTGCCCTGCTTCCACTGTAGTCTGTAGACACAAGCTGCCATAGGACCATCCGGAAGTATGAGAAGATAGTCTGCTGGTGAGGAGGTTGTGAGCGAGAAGAGTCAGTTGGAGCTCTACATCTACAAGAATAGGGTAACTGACAATGTTATAAAAGTTATATTGCTTCAGGGACTTCTGCTACTTAGTTGATGCTATTTGCTACTTACCTAGGAATCTTTGTGGGTCCAAATTTTCTTGAGAACAGACTTTTTTTTTTTTAACCTAATTCAGCATTCAGCAGTAAGCTATATTTCGTATGTAATGCAAAGAGTTTGTGCATAAATTTTGTTTGAACTGAGCTATTTCTATTGCATGACATTGATGAATAATGTTGACTGTGCCTCTGTCTGACACTTGATTTCTTCTTGTATTACATTTACAACTTCTTAGGTATGTATTTGAAGATACGATTGATTTTGTTAAATCATCAGTCATAGAAGGAACCCAGGTAATCAGTTACATGCTTTTAGTTTCCTTGTTTATCGTGATGTCTTTAAGAGGTATTGTTATCTTACTGAAATTTCCTATTCTAGCCTGAAGACGATTCAGATAAAGAGGACATTGAAGCAAAAGATATTTTGAAAAGGGAGCTCCAGGTGAGTGTGGTTACTGGTCATAGAACATGTAGTCCATATGTGATGTGTAGCCTTTTCTTTTGCTGTGATAGAAGTATAGAACATTGTGTACTTTTCTTGGCAGCTGCATACATTCCTGAAAGATTTATGTTAATATCCTCTTTATTAACAATTCTCCTTTTCTGAACTAGGATGAGCGAAAGACACTTCCAATTTTCAAATTTAGGGATGAACTGCTTAAGGCCATAGAAGAGTATCAGGTTTGTGTTGCTTTTGACCTTTTGTAATGATATTGCTTGATGATCATTATTTGGATGACACATGGCATGCATAGATTAAATCATAGAATCTAGGGAAAATTAGTTACGTAGCATCGAAAGATCGCCACATACGAATAATGCCATTAAAAGTTCTGTAAAATAGCATCAAGAATAAATATCACCCTAAACTAGCATTCTGTCACATTTGCTAATATCGCCGTCCACCTGTCTGTCTGATCGTCACTTCTTCCTCCTTGCTAACGGTCATGGCAGCTTCCGCTAGGCACAGGTTGCGCTGGCCACACTCTAGGGTACATGCCAAGATGCAGGGGTGCTGCTCTGCAGTGACCCGCGTCTGGCGCCTCTGGACACGTTGAGGCCACCTCCACACCGTGGCCTCGACATGACTCCTCTGTGAACCTCTACATGGCCATCACAGCCGCGAGCGTTGTGGAAACAGTTGCAACCTGCGAACCACTGCCGCCATCGATGGCGTACAGCGCGTTGGCGTAGGAGCGGCAACGCCAATCAGCAGCAATCCATCGCCAAGCTCTAGCTCCTTTGCAATCCAATCTCTCCTCCTTTGTCTCTCAGCGCCAGCACATGCTTCCCCAAATCCACCAACTAAAGCTACAACAATACCATTTTTCTGGCAAAAGAATACATCTACAACAGTGTCAATGCGTCATCAGGCTGCTTGACGGAATGCTTTGTTTCCATTTTTTTTTGGGTAAACATAGATAATACACTGGGATCCTCTAAATATAGTCCATATGTAATGCGTTTTTAATATTCAAAATAGAATATGTAATGGATCAAAGATGATACTTTACTTTTAATAAAAGACATACACAAGTATCAAGTAGAACTTTTTGTCAATTAAGTTTCCGGTCTGGCCAAGATTTAAGTATGTAATGTGCAACTCAGCTCTATTGCAATGCCCAAAGGCCCACATATGAAGATGTACAAAGTGCAGATAGCACCCTACACTGAAGTCTAAATACAATATACATATGTCTAACCCCCCCCCTCATGGTAGTTCAACAGCATTGAGTTTGGAGAGCAAATAGCTATTTGTGTGCCCTAGTCTGTGCTTTCATGAAAATATACTCTAGCTGAACCTCAGAAGGCACATGGTGGAAAGTCATAACATAATCATGCACTTGCGATCTCGTATAGGAAGCATCAATGCCAATGTGTTTGGTGAGTTCATGCTTCACTCGGTCCCTGGCAATATTGATCGCACTAGCGCTATCAGAGGAGAGGGGAGTCGGTGCAGTAACTGGCACAACGAAATCCTCGAGCAGCCATCGTAGCCATGTCACCTCCGCAGTCACAACTGCCATAGCCCGCAACTGGAACAGAGGGAGCACCAAGAGGAAGACGACCAGAATGAGTAACTGAAGAAGTGGAAGTTAAAGGAACAGGAAAACAGTTGGGTTTTTGTTAGTCTGTAAGGTCTTTTGTGACGGCGGTGCTTGACCTTGAAAGGTCTGCACTTGTCGTGTTATGTTTCGTTCTATAGACTGTAATATGGTGGGTTTATCGTAGTCTAGCTCCTGGGGGTTATCTGATTCTGAGGCAGAGCTTCAGATATGCTGGAGACGCATGTTATCTTTCTTCTTTGGTTCTTTCAGACGCATGTATTTCCGTTTCACTGAATGGAAATGGGGCTAGCCTCGTGTGGAAAAAAAAGGAGGTGGGCATAGTGGACCTAAGTAGGAGAAGAAACAAATTGAACTCAAGATGTGGATAGAATGAGAAATGTCAGGACGAGTGATACCAAGATAGACAAGACTCCCGACAAGATGACAATACTGAGTGGGATCGTTGAGAGGCACACCATCAGTGGGGCACAAGTGAACACCAAGCTCCATAGGTGTATCAGCTGTGCGAGTATTAGTGAGAGCAGCACAAGAAAGGATATCTTGAATGTATTTTCTTGGGAGGGGTAGATGCCATCAGGCGTAGAAGAGACCTCAATACCAAGGAAGTGACTAAGGGGTCCCAAATCAAACCTTAATACTAAAGTCTAAATACAATATATCAATGTCGACAAACTACCAAACTCAGATCGTATCTAGGACCAAACTGGTCCACTCTAGGTTCATAGCTATAGGAATTTGGACTTTAGTTGATGTTCTGACAACCTCAGTTCTCTTTGTAGGTTATCGTCATAGTGGGCGAGACTGGGTCTGGTAAAACAACACAAATACCTCAGTACCTTCATGAGGCTGGGTATACTGCGAAAGGAAAGGTAAGATATCCATAAGCTCCATTACTCTAGTGAGAATATGGCGAGCATTGTCTGTGTATGTTTTGGTTGGTCTTATACACGAATATAGAAGAGGATCTGTATGGGCTTCTCCCTAGTAGCTCTCTGAGCTCCAGTTTCATGAAATGTGCAAGTAGCAAGTAGGTTAGGTTTAGGCCATGATGTTTGTTTGCCTATATTTACAGCCTGCACTAAAGGTACTTAATTTTGTGCAGGTTGCATGTACTCAACCTCGTCGAGTGGCTGCCATGAGTGTTGCAGCAAGAGTATCTCAAGAAATGGGTGTTAAGCTTGGACATGAGGTTTGATTTTTTTTCTTAATTCTAATGTCACATAGTTCATAATAGGAATTTCATTCAATCGATATTCTATCATATCATCTGAAATTTGTAATAACTACTGTTCAGGTTGGTTACTCTATAAGATTTGAGGATTGCACTTCAGATAAAACAATTATTAAGTACATGACTGATGGAATGCTTCTGAGGGAGTTCCTTGGTGAACCAGATTTGGCTAGCTATAGGTATCCATTTATGAAAGCAGATGTGTTTGTTCCTCCCCAAAGTATCACAGACCTTTCTTATGTCTGTTTCTTTATTTTTGCTGCAGTGTTGTCATGGTTGATGAGGCTCATGAGCGTACCCTCTCCACTGATATCTTATTTGGTCTGGTGAAGGTTAGCTAGCTTGATGTATTGCATTGCAACTACATTTGATACAAACTCAAAATGTTACCATGTACATTAATATGGTTTTCCTGCCTTCAGGATATTTCTCGTTTTCGACCAGACCTGAAGTTGCTCATTTCTAGTGCCACCCTTGATGCAGAAAAATTTAGTGACTACTTTGATTCAGCTCCTATTTTCAAGATACCTGGGAGGCGATACCCGGTTGAAATTCATTATACAAAAGCCCCAGAGGCTGATTACATAGATGCAGCAATTGTCACTGTTTTACAGATACATGTGACACAACCCCCTGGAGATATCCTGGTGTTTCTCACAGGTCAGGAGGAAATTGAAACAGTTGATGAAATCCTTAAACACAGAACAAGGGGCTTAGGCACCAAAATTTCAGAATTAATTATATGTCCCATTTATGCAAATCTGCCTACCGAGCTTCAAGCTAAGATATTTGAGCCAACCCCCGAGGGTGCCCGTAAGGTGGTTCTGGCCACTAATATAGCAGAAACTTCATTAACCATTGATGGTATAAAATATGTTATTGATCCAGGCTTTTGTAAGATCAAATCATACAATCCCCGCACAGGAATGGAATCTCTACTTATTAATCCTATCTCAAAAGCTTCAGCAAACCAGAGGGCAGGAAGATCTGGACGCACTGGACCTGGAAAATGCTTCCGTCTATACACGAGTTATAACTATATGCACGACCTAGAAGATAATACTGTTCCGGAGATCCAACGAACCAATCTTGCGAATGTTGTGCTTACACTCAAGAGTCTTGGTATTCATGACTTGGTTAACTTTGACTTCATGGATCCACCTCCATCAGAAGCCCTATTAAGGGCTCTGGAACAACTTTTTGCTCTCAGTGCACTCAACAGTCGTGGAGAGTTGACCAAGACTGGAAGAAGAATGGCAGAATTTCCACTGGATCCTATGTTGTCGAAGATGATTGTTGCTTCAGAGAAATATAAGTGTTCTGACGAGATCATCTCCATTGCATCCATGTTGTCAATTGGCAATTCTATATTTTATCGTCCGAAGGACAAACAAGTTCATGCAGATAATGCAAGGTTGAACTTCCACACTGGCAATGTTGGGGACCATATAGCACTACTAAATGTATGATTCCTTGCCTGTTTACTTTTGTAAGCATAAACACACACGCACACACCTTTATATGGTCAATGCTAACTTATACTTGCAGGTGTATAATTCTTGGAAAGAAACAGACTATTCAACTCAATGGTGTTACGAAAACTATATACAGGTAACAGGTCTTTACCTGCCCGTACTTATTATCCTCAGGGTTAATTTCTTGGCCTGAAAAAGCTCTTGTTATCTTGTTATCTGATCAGCCAGTAAACGTTCTCTTTTATTATTTATTTTTCATATTTTCTCAGAAGGTATATTTGTACATAAGAAATGGAAAATGGTGGGGATGACTTAGATATTGTAAACAAAGTATTGATGAAATAGGGTGGAGAATCTCACCTGCTGTTAGTGCATTATTGAAATTTGATTGTTGGTCCCTTGGGAAAAACTTGCTTTTAATGCTTGCTGTACCCAAAAAATCCTGTGACCACTGGTTAGTTAATGGTTTTTGTTTCCCTGAATATACCTCAACAGTACGGGCTGCTTATATTCTCTGCTTATGGGCCCAACTTTCACTAGGCTGTCTTGTAACATTCTTGCGAATTTCAACTATATTTGTCTGAATACCCCTCTTCCCAATACACATCATGGGTCATGAACATTGAATTACCGTGAAAAGAAATATTTGTTGGTCATATAGGAGTATTATATTCCAAAACCTTGATTCCCATAAAGCCAATGTGAAATTATTTAAAATTGTGATTGTGAGTGGAATCAAAATTCTATAATATCTAATTAGATATGAGTGGAATCAGCAAGCAGCTGCGTATTATCTTATTGTGTCTTAGGTTCATAAGCTACGCTAATATGTTCATCAAAAAGATCTCACTACTGCTAGAAGATGTGAATTTGAGACAATTCCATTAGAGTGCTTTAGGGTGGGGTTACACATATAAAGTTTCCTTAGTGTTTCAACGCTGCCTAGAGGTTCAAGATCCATGACGCACTGGATACACTGTTCAATTACTACTACATCTACTGTTACGCTATAGTATTTCTATGTGCTTCTTCACAACACTAACAGTCATCAGCATTCTGGTTTTTATAGCACTTTAGATGCTTCTGCCCATAGTTGTAGCTGTAATGCTCTAATACCTAAGTTATATATTTGAACTTTTATAATCTTGGTTAGTTGACATAGCATCCACTGGAGTATACATGTCAAAGGACAGTTATTGTTTCTAGCTATCAGCCTTGTAACATAATTCATCTTTACACAGTAGTTAAAAATTATCTGTTGATCCTTGATTCTGCAAATTTATGTGGTAAAATTATCATTGGATAATTCAGGTGCGCAGCATGAAGAGGGCAAGAGATATTCGGGATCAACTAGAGGGGCTTATGGAAAGAGTTGAGATTGAGATTTGCTCAAATGCCAGTGATTTAGATGCTATTAAAAAAGCTATAACATCAGGTATGAGCCTTTGGGGTATTCTTCAGTGCTTTCTAACAATGATGCAATTGCTTCATGTGTGCTGTAGGTTTCTTCCATCATTCTGCACGGTTGCAGAGGGATGGTACATATAAGACTGTCAAGAACCCTCAGACCGTACATATCCATCCTAGTTCAGGATTAGCGGAGGCAAGTTCATTTGATTGTACATCGTCTCATTTTCATAGCATTCATAGTTCTACCTTTTCTTCTGCGAGTTTTAGTTATGATCTCTTGTGTTATGTGCTTATATATGCTGTATGCAGATACGGCCGCGGTCGGTAGTATACCACGAATTAGTTCTCACAACAAAAGAGTTTATGCGCCAGGTATGCCCTGTTATTCAGAATCTCATTAAGACCTGTAGGAGAATTTGTTGTATATTGATGTGACAATTGACATACTGTGGCACTGCAGGTAACGGAACTGAAGCCTGAATGGCTGGTAGAGATAGCACCACATTATTACCAACTAAAGGACGTGGAAGACTGTAAGGCTTGATTGTGATGCCATTAATCGCTCAACCTAGTTTTTGTTGTATGAGCTATGACTTAAATGCATCTTCCTTTTTCCTGCACAGCTGGAACAAAGAAGCTACCAAAGGGCCAAGGACGAGCTGCATTGTAGCTAGGACCCATGGATGTTTTGTGTTGGGCTCAGCCTAGGAGCATCAGGCTTTGAGTGAAGATGTATATAACTCCTTATATTGCGAACGCAGCGAACATGATAGATGATGTCACTATTCACTGTCCTGCTTAGGTTTCAGAGTAGCCGATTGTTCATGTAAATTATGACATGAAAACATGCATGTGAACTACTATAATTGTCATACTAGAGGGAGCGCTGGCATACGGCGTTTGGGGTTGCTAGCCGCCATGCTGGACGATCGTCAGCATCCTGCTGCTGTTGGGACTATTGTCCAAGAAAATGCACATGAGCCTTGCCTCGCCGGCCTCTTGGGTAGGGACGTAGGGTGGACAAGGGCCTATCCCGGCAAGTATAAATTTGGGATTTTTCCTAGAATATGGGATTCTGCAAAAACATAAGTTGTGAATATTTCTATAAATGGGCTGGTCATATTGGGAAAAATGGATGGGTTGGAATGGAATCGTCAGTTTTTGAATCTGAATAATTCAGTCACGGTCCACTAACTTGTTTGGTTTACGGTGTTTGTTTGCTGTCCTAACAAATATCATCACCTGACTTAGGCAGCGTGCCCACGCGTTGGATCCTTGAAAATGTCTAGCAAGCAGTCCCTAGGCCAAGATGGCAACCTAAAAAGCCGTTTTAGGTGCTTGCTGGAGCTGTCTAGTTTTGGTATCATGGCCTTAGTTGTTGGAATTTGCATGTTTGGATGCAATCCTGCTAATGGGCTTAAACCTACCCAAAACCCACCCCGCCCCATAGTTGCTGTCTACTCTTGAATATTGGTATTTGCTAGTGGACATGACTGCTGGAGGCTCGAGGAAATAAATGGGCCTGATGGTGAGAGCTTAGAAGTTAATTTGTTCTAGGACAATTTTCAGCATAAAAATCTATTCTTTTAAGGACAAAAAGGATTCACTCTATAATAGAAGAATTACTTTCTCGGGTCCTTTTAAGTGTCGTTTTCACATATCGATGAGTTAAATGTATTTAACTTTGACTAAATATATATAAGAGATTACTACTATTTATGGTGCGTAATAAGTATCAATTAATTAATCATTGAATATATTTTTATAATACACTTATTTAGAGATGTAAATGTTAATCATTGAATATATTTCTATTAGATCCGGTTAAACTTAAGAAAGTTTGACCTATACAGAAATCTAGGTGATACTTAAAAAGGGAAAAAAAGAATATATTGAGTTATTCTTTCAGTTATATTATTATATTATTTTATTAATGATTACTAGTATATTTAAATCTGCACCCACTGATTTCCCACAATAGTAGAATGCATGTTGAATTCATGTCTAAACTACGGAGTACTAAAGTGACGGATGGTCAACACAAGAAGACAAATGTGGAAAGATGAGTATGGGGATTTCAAATATTTAAAAACTTGTGTACGTTATCTCCAAATTTCATGTCCACCGAAAGGAAATCCAGAGTTAATCAGGGACTTGAAAACCGGTGGATTTGTCGACAAAGAGCGCAAAGTCAAATCCCACACAAAAAAGTCAGTGCTGCGGTGGGCTGACACACCCTGCATTTAATAAACCCCTCTGAACCGTGGACTTTGCCAATCCCCCCTTTATTTTATTTTTTATAAAATAAATTCTGGCACCGAAAAGACCAAAACACAAGCAAAGCCAGCGGGCGCGACTGTCTTCGGTGTCTCCTCTCCGATCAAATCCACATCGGAACAACCACTGAAAAGCACGCGGTTCCTACCCGTCCGGCCGCCGCCATCAACACCACCGGTGGGAGGTGCCTGTCCCCGCTGCTCGGCTCCGGCACGGAGCGTCCCTCCCTCCGCTCGTTCTGCAGTTTTCAACGGAGGTTGGGTCCCGTCAAAAAAAATCTGATCCTCCCGTCTCTCTGAAGCCGGCTTTCTTGACTAATCGGCGGCGGAATTTCGCGGCCTGGGTCTGGCCGCCTTGTCTTGTTCCTCCCCGGTACTTGCCTGATGGCTGATACCTTCTATTCCCTTCCCTTGTTTGGTGTTCAAAAGGCGCATTTCCCACTTGGTTCTTGGTTTGTTTGAGGTCGTCACCTTCTTCCTGCTTTGATTTTTTCCTTCGGCGGGAGCGTCGTCAACGCGACCACTCGAGCGGGTAAGATTCGTTCCATCTTTTCGGCGTTCATTTACTTCGTTGTTTATCGCCGGCGTCGGGTGGGATTGAGCGATATTCATGGCCAATTTTGCATCTTACAGGTGCTCGGCTGGTGGAGCTACTTGTCGCGTCGGCATTGGTCATCATGGGCGGCGTGTGTTCGGCGGGGATCGCCGGGGACAAATCGCCGACGGAGCTCTCGTTCCGAGCGATGGGGTTCATGGTGGAGCAGGATTTCAGGGACTTCTCAGCCGCCAGCAAGAACAAGACCGCGCCCATCGAGGAGGCGGTGGATCCTAACCAGGTGAGCGATCAGTCGTTTCGTCTGTCTGATAAGGGCTCGCCGCCGTCCACGAGCGGCAAGGCTCGTCGCTCGGTCTCCAAGGAGCCGCATTTGACGCATGCTGAATCGTGGAAGGCCAAGGCTGGGAAGCCTAGGAGAAGCATGACCGGCAAGGCTGGTCCGAGCAAGGCAAGTCTTTCCTTCTGGATTTGCATGTGCTTGTATAATTGCGCATCAAAATTGATAAGTTCATTGTTGGGAAACAAATTTTGGATCGTGCATTAAGACTGAGGTGTGGTATTACATTGTGTAATGAGTAATGACAATAATTTTGCTGAAAATAATGTTACTTTGTGATCTTATTGGTAATGAGAGGAGCTAAGTTCTTACATTGTAGCATGAACCTTGTGTCAATCTATCGAGTTGTGTATCCAGACATGGTTTCTGTGCTTCAGAAGAAGCTTGTTTTGTCAGGTTTCGTAATGCTTCTGTTTTTCTCGACTCTTCTTGCAGGTTTCAGACATAGGCATAGCCCTTGGTAGAAAGAGTACCTCTGGACTTGGGAAAGCAGTAGAGGTTCTAGATAATCTGGGCAGCAGCATGTCAAGTTTGAGCCCTGGAGGGGGTTTTGTGGCGGGACCAACGACAAAGGGGAACAAAATATCAATCCTTGCATTCGAGGTTGCAAATACAATAGTTAAGGGCATGAGCCTCATGCAGTCTTTGTCCAAAGAAAGCCTGAACTATTTGAAGGACATGGTCCTTCTATCAGAAGGTGTACAACGTTTAGTTTCAAGCAACATGGATGATCTGATGAGAATTGCTGCAGCCGACAAGAGGTTTGCCAACACATATATTAGCATTTTAATTCTGTGATGGTTTAGCGGATGTTATAGCCCAACTTTAACGTTCCTAAATAATAAAAGGTTTCATATTCTGGTCACATCTTTGCAGGCAAGAGCTGAGTATATTTTCACGAGAAGTCATAAGATTTGGGAATCGTTGCAAAGATCCTCAGTGGCACAACCTAGATCGTTATTTCTCCAAGTAGGTTCCCACCGTTAACATGGCTTAATGATTGATTCCTAGTGTAATGATCTCACTAGTCCTTGTGTTTGTTTCCAGGCTAGGGTCAGAAATTACACCCCAACCAGAATTAAAAGAAACGGCAAAAGCAGATATGCAGCAACTGATGGCCCTTGTTCGACACACTGGTGTGAGTATTACATACGTTGACAAAGTCTCTAGTGTTATTACAGAAAACAAACTGTGTTTGATTACATTTCTTTGGTTTTTGTTAACCTTTGCAGATCATGCAATCCATTTGATTCCTCTAGCCTTTTCTGATTTGGTTGCTATTTCACTACTTGTCCCATAGGATCTCTACCATGAATTACATGCATTAGATAGATTTGAGCAAGATTATCGCCGTAAATTGGAGGAAGAGAAAAGATCAGTTACATTTGAAAGGGGTATGCCGATGTTCATCCATGTATCGCCCTTGTAGTTTCAGATGCTATTTTGCTGCCAGTCCAATTCCCTGATCTCAGCACACTTATAACTGACTGTCATGAATGAACAGGAGATACTGTTCAGATTATCAGACAAGAACTGAAGAGCCAGAGGAAGCATGTACATAATTTGAAGAAAAAGTCTCTTTGGTCTAAGTCTCTTGATGATGTAAGTAGTTCATACGCAAATCATGCACAAGATAAAGTGTACACAGATGGAAATTTGGTAATTTTCTGCTTTTAACGGGCAAGATGAATGATGCAAATTGTACCTCCTATTTGTAGGTCATGGAGAAGCTTGTAGATATTGTCCAGTTCTTACATGTCGAGATTCAAGATACTTTTGGGCCTTGTGGTAAGGTTGCTCGCCCACTCTATATTTGTCATCAAACCAGTCACGGTTACCACCTAGTAATTACTACTAACTTGTCTGTTTTGTGTTCTTTTGTTCCTGTAGATGGAGAGTCAAACGAATCGCAAGAGAGCCGTCAAACGTTGGGGTCTGCTGGTCTCTCTCTTCACTATGCTAATATCATTTCTCAGATTGACAATATTGTAAGTGTCTCGTGTTTACTTAAATATATTTTGCTGCCTCATTTCTCTTTTGCATGTGTCCACATTGCAGCAACAATAACAACAAAGCCTTTAAGTCCCAAACAAGTTGGGGTAGGCTAGAGTTAAAACCCAGCAAAAACAATCAAGGTTCAGACACGTGAATAGTTGTTTTCCAAGCACTCCTATCTAAGGCTAAGTCTTTGGGTATATTTCATCTTTTTAAGTCTTCTTTTATTGCCTCTACCCAAGTCAACTTCGGTCTTTCTCTGCCTCTCTTCACGTTACTATCCTGACTTAGGATTCCACTACGCACCGGTGCCTCTGGAGGTCTCCATTGAACATGTCCAAACCATCTCAACCGGTGTTGGACAAGCTTTTTTTTTTAATTGGTGCTACCCCTAATCTATCACGTATACGTTTCGAACTCGATCCCTTCTTGTATGACCGCAAATCCAACGCAGCATACGTATTTCCACGACACTTATCTGTTGAACATGTCGTCTTTTCGTAGGCCAACATTCTACACCATACAACATAGCAGGTCTAATCGTCGTCCTATAAAACTTGCCTTTTAAGTTCTGTGGTACCCTTTTGTCACATAGGACACCAGATGTTTGGCGCCACTTCATTCACCCTGCTTTGATTCTATGGTTAACATCTTCATCAATATCTCCGTCTCTCTGTAGCATTGATCCTAGATATCGAAAGGTATCCTTCCTAGGCACTACTTGACCTTCCAAACTAATATCTTCCTCCTCCTGAGTAGTAGTACCGAAGTCACATCTCATATACTCAGTTTTAGTTCTACTGAGTCTAAAATCTTTGGACTCCAAAGTCTCTCGCCATAACTCCAGTTTCTGATTCACTCCTATCCGACTTTCATCAACTAGCACTACATCGTCCGCGAAAAGCATACACCAAGGGATGTCCACTTGTATGTCCCTTGTGACCTCATCCATCACTAAGGCAAACAGATAAGGGCTCAAAGCTGATCCTTGATGTAGTCCTATCCTAATCGGGAAGTCATAGTCATCCGTGTCTCCATCACTTGTTCGAACACTAGTCACAACATTGTTGTACATGTCCTTAATGAGCCCGACATACTTCGTTGGGACTTTATGTTTGTCCAAAGCTCACCACATAACATTCATTGGTATTTTATCATAAGCCTTCTCCAAGTCAATAAAAACCATGTGTAGGTCCTTCTTCTTCTTCTTCCTGTACCGTTCCATAACTTGTCTTATTAAAAAAATGGCTTCCATGGTTAATCTTTCGGGCATGAAACCAAATTGGTTCATAGAGACCCACGTTATTGCTCTCAAGCGATGCTCGATAACTCTCTCCCATAATTGGTCAGCTACATTTATTTTTCATATTCAAATTATCAATAGGTTATGCTGAAACTAGCAGACCAAATATTCTGTATATATTCTCTAGATATTTGGTTCTACAGTCCACACCCTGTAGCCATATTGGCCAATGATGTTATAGGATACGGTTCAAAAATCCGGTTGGGTTACTACATTCTGAAACTTCGAAATCTTCACTTTAGAAGTGCTATTTTTACAGCCAATCAGTCATCATACGGAAATCTTGCAACTTTTGTTCTGGAAAAAAAAGGAATGCTGTCATAGTTACAGATCTCATGCAACTAATGAGCATAAATGCATAATTGGAACATACTTTCAACAAAATACTTGTTGAACAGTCCTGGGGAACTGTTTACTAACTGATATTAACGTCGCTGCTTAAGGTTTCCCGAAGCTCTGTTCCCCCTCAAAGTACAAGAGATGCACTCTATCAAGGTCTGCCCCCAAATGTCAAGTCTGCTCTTCGAACAAGACTACTAACTTCCACAGAATCTGAAGAGGTACTCTGATGCTTGAATATGATGCTCCATTATCCACATTGACAACATCCACACGGGAGCTTTATATTTTCTAAACATTATTTCCTGCTGCGTTAGGTTCCGATCACTAAAATCAGGAGTTCAATGGAGAAAACTTTGCAATGGATTGTCCCGGTTGCCAATAATACGGCCAGGTACTTCAAATCGAAATGTTTTAGCTAAAAAAAAAAAAGAATCGACTTTGATGTTAACCTTTGTTTGTAATGCTATGAACCAGAGCACACCATGGATTCGGATGGGTTGGCGAGTGGGCGAACACAGGGTAAGATAAGACACTGATCCATTTTCTTTTTGTTAAGAGTAATTATTATTCCTCAAAGTATATACTAAGTTATGTTAGCTAATCTACTGCCACCTTGTGTGAACACAGCAGAGAAAGGCGGCGCCGATTTAGCTGCCTGCTGTGTGTGAACACAGCAAGGGAAGGCGGCGCCGACTTTGCCCCCTGCTGTGATCTGATGGAGCAAGAGTCAGAGGTGCAAAGCGCCAGACCTCTGCTCACCTACAAAGATCAGAGGAATGCATAAAGGGTGGCCGGTGCAGAGTCAGCCTTGTCAGGTTATCTAGTTACTGTGTCAGCATGGGCGCTGCACATGGACTAGATAGTTAGAGTTGTATAAATAGACATGTATGACAACTCAAGAAAGAGAGCTCAGATTTGCCATCATTGGCGGGGCTTCGCCAACATTTGTTACCTTGTATTGTGCGTGCTTGCTCTGTTCTCCTTCCTCTTCTAGCTCGATCCGTAGTGTGTGGGTACGGACAACGCCGAGTGCGTGGTCGCACGCGGCTAGTGGGTGCTCGGCAACACTAGCGCGGCGTGTTCGGCGAGACCGACAAGTGCTCCACTCGCTTTGAGCCGGTGGTCGGCAAGATCGGCTAGAGTGGTTCATCGTCGTGAGCCGGTGATCTGTGAGACCAACAGAGTGGTCGGAGATCATCTCGGTGGTCGGGAGGCTAGCTGTGGGCCAACAAGTGGTATCGAGCCGTACAAGCGCGTCGTCGTCATTCTAACCGGCGATGGCGATGACATGCGGTTCGGAGTTGGGCGACAGCAGCGGTAACGCGCTGTCGTGGCTGCTTGACCACTACCGGAGGTAGTTGTTCGCGACGCAGTGCGGGAGGTCGGCGGCACCACTTGGCCGACGCCGACTCGCACTAACTATGGAGAGTGGTCGGTGACCATGAAGGTCAAGCTTCGAGCCCGTCGGCTGCGGAATGCTGTTGACAAGGGCACCGACGCGTGGAAGAAGACGACATGTCGTGATGGAGGCTATACTCACTGCTTGTATGCGGCGGAGTATAGGGAACCGTTGGGGACGAAGAGCTCAGCTAAGGAGGCGTGGGAGGCCATTGCGGCGATGCGCGTCGGTTCCGACCGCGCAAAGAAGGCAACGACCCAGCTTCTGAAGTAGGAGTACACAAACCTCAAGTTCAAGGATGGTGAAACGGTGGAGGACTTCTCCTCCGCTGCTGCAGCGCTCATCGCAAAAGTGAAGAGCCACGGCGTCACCATCGACGAAGAGGAGGCGGTCTCCAAGTTCCTCCACTCCGTCTTGAAGCAAAGTACATCCAGATCGCTCTATCCATAGAGACAATCTTTGGACTTGTCCACCCTCACCATCGAGGATGTGGCGGGACGTCTACGAGGCGGTGGACGGCGCTGGAGCGAAGCGACAAAGAACGGCGATAGCGGAAACTCCTGGCCGACGGAAGAGGAGTGGGCTGCTCGGCGAAACTCCGGAAGGCAGCCTCCTCCAATCAGCGGTGGCAGCGGCAAACATTGGCGGCGGGGCTTCTTCGGTGAAGAAGCAAATCGACTCAACGCTCGCCGGTGTTGCGGGAAGATGGGCCATTGGGCGCCGGAGTGCCCAAATCGCAAGAAGGAAAAGAAGGCTCGAGCTCACTGGTGAAAGCCGATGATGAGGATGAGGCTACTATCCTTATGGCGACGTTACGTGCCTTCGCTGCGGCGCCGAGGCCATGGAGAGGGAAGAGGCGACGACGGTGGAAGGATCTAGCAAGGCCCTCAAGACGGCGTCAACCTCGACGAACCACGCGCCCAAGTCCATCTTGGGCATGTGGGCGTCGACCAGGAGCAGCGGTGGTATCTAGACTGGTGCGGTAACCACATGACGGGCTCCAAGGACTCCTTCTCCGAGTTCGACGGCGATATTACCGATACGGTGAAGTTTGGTCACGGCTCAAGGGTGGCTATCCAAGGGCGCGGCACCATCATCTTCAGATGCCAGAATGGGAAGCACCGCGCGCTAACGGATGTATACTACATCCCGCGATTGCGTTCAGCATCATCGGCATTGGTCAATTTGGATGAGCGCGGTAGCGAGGTTCTGATCAAGGACGGCGTTCTGAGGATCAGAGATCGAGAGCAGCGACTTCTCGCCAAGGTGAAGAGGTCCCTGAACCGGTTGTACCTGCTCGACTTGAAGGTAGAGCAGCCGGTTTGCCTGGCGGCAAGGCACTCCGAGGAACCGTGGATGTGGCATGCCCGGTTCGGACATCGCAGCTTCGACGCGCTTGGTCAGCTAGGGAAGATGGTCCGAGGGCTACCCTACATTAAACACGGAGGCGAGCTGTGTGACAGCTGCCTGGCCGAGAAGCAGAGGAGGCTACCTTTCCCAAAGGCGGCCAAGTATCGCGCGAAGGAAGCTCTCGAGCTAGTTCACGGCGACCTCTGCGGGCCGATCACGCCTGCTACATGCGGTGGTCGGCGGTACTTCCTCCTACTCGTGGACGATTGCAGTCGCTACATGTGGCTGCAACTCCTGACGAGCAAGGACGAAGCGGCGGTGGCGATCAAGAAGTTCAAGACGCGCGCGGAGGCCGAGAGCGGCAAGAAGCTCCTCGTACCGAGGACTGATCGGGGTGGCGAATTCACTTCGGTGGAGTTTGCTACATCTTTGCGTGGATCAAGGTGTGGGGAAACATCACACCGCTACCGCACTCGCCACAATGAGAATGGCGTGGTGGAGCGGCGGAACCGAGCGGTGGTCGGCATGGCCCGATCCATGATGAAGGCCAAAGGGATATCAAGAAAGTTCGGGAGAGGCGGTGACCACGGCGGTGTTCATCCTCAACCGCGCTCCAACCAAAGCCCTAACGGGCAAGACACCATTCGAAGCTTGGTACGGGAGCAAGCCGAACGTGTCATTCCTCCGAACATTCGGTTGCATCGCCACGTCGGAAGACGGCCGAACCTCACCAAGTTGGAGGACGGAGCACACCCATGGTATTCTAGGCTACGCGGAGGGTACCAAGGCGCACCGGCTCTATGACCCATGCGGAGACAAGGTGACTATCTCGCATAACGTTGTGTTCAACGAGGAGGCAGCTTGGGACCGGCACGGTCCCGAGCACGGGAAGCGGGAGGCTTCACCAACACCTTCGTCGTCGAGCACTTGGTCATCCACGACGGTGAAGACGCTGTGGAACAGGTGCACGCGCACTCGGGAGGAGCGCCGAGCACTCCGGCGGTAGAGTCGAGCACTTCAAAGGCGATGCCGAGCACTTCGGGAGGGATGCCGAGCACTCCGAGAGGAGTGTCGAGCACTTCTGGAGGAATTTCGAGCATGCGCAGGAGTGGAGCCAGGCGGTTCTACAGTGGCGGCGACCACTTCAGGACGGGTACCGAGCACTCCTGTGGCGGAGCCAAGACGTCTTACTGTGGTTCCGACCACTCCAAGATCGAGATCGGGCACTCCTACGGTGTGGCGAACACCGCAGGAGTTATGACGAGCGATCCGAAGCGATGCCGAGCACTTCGGGTGCTATCACGGGCACTCCGGCGGAAGAAGGAACTCCATCACCCTCGATCGAGTTCGCCTCACCTCAAGTGACATCATTGAGTTCGTGGACGCCTACCACGAAGGTGAGGAGTTGAGGTTCCGCAGTGGGCGACATCATCGGCGCGACAGTCCCTCGGTATGGCGGGTAGGCTGCTCAACGACGCAGAGCTGCTACTCATCGGTCGCGGAGGAACCACCCACGTTCGCGCTTAGCCGAGCGCGATGAAAGCTGGCGACGGGCAATGCTTTGGAGGAGATGAAGGCGATCGAGAAAAGCGAGACTTGGCAGCTCATCGATCCACCCCGAGGATGCCGTTCGATCAGCTGAAGTGGGTGTACAAAGTCAAAAGGGACGAGCTTCGCGCCATTGTCAAGTATAAGGCGCGCGCCTCGTTCGCCGAGGCTTTGTCAAAGGCGAGGGCATCGACTTCGAGGAGGTCTTTGCACCGATGGCGCGCATGGAGTCGGTCCGTTTGCTACTTGCTTTGGCGGCAAAAAAGGATCGGGCGCGTCCATCACATGGACGTTAAATCGGCCTTCCTCAACGGCAGCCGGGCGAAACGGTCTTCGTCCAGCAACCTTCGTGGTTCATTGTCAAGGGAGAGGAACACAGTGGTGCTTCCGATCGCGAAAAGCGCTCTGGTGAGGCAAGCCCCTCGAGCATGGAACGCCAAGCTTGACACCACGCTGGGCGAGCTTGGGTTTCAGAGGTGCGCAACCGAGCACGCGCTCTACACGCGACGATGGGGGAAGGAAGAACTCGTGGTTGGCGTGTATGTGGATGACTTAATCGTCACCGGCGCGCGCACGGAGAATATCAACAGCTTCAAGCGAGAGATGGCAGCTCGTTTCCGAATGAGCGATCTCGGCGCTCTCTCCTACTACCTCGGCATCGAGGTGAGACAGGGGAAGGAGGAACTCACGCTCGGGCAAAGCGCGTATGCCTCCAAGCTGTTGGAGAGGAGCGGCATGGTGGAGTGCAAGCCATGCGTGACTCCGATGGAGGAGCGGCTGAAGCTGACGAAGGATAGCACCGTGGCGAAAGTAGATGCAACACTCTACCGGAGCATCGTTGGCGGTCTGCGCTACCTAGTCCACACAAGGCCAGACATTGCGTTCGCTGTGGGCTACGTCAATCGCTTCATGGAGGATCCTAGAGAGGATCACTGGGCTGCGGTAAAGCGACTACTACGCTACGTCAAGGGGACGGTGAATCATGGAATCATCTTCCCAAAGGCGGGGAAGTAGGCTGCGACTCACGGTGTTCGGCCGATGCGGACATGGCGGGGACATAGACGGACGGACGACGGAGCACCTCTGGCGTATTTCGTCTTCCTCGGGTCAGCCCCAATTTCATGGTTGTCATAAAAAGAAGGTGGTAGCGCTATCTCACGTGCGCGGCGAGGCGTAGCGGTACGCCACAGCGGCGCGTTGTTGTGTGGCTACGCCGGCGCTGGGTGAGCTAACCGGCGTGGAAGCTCACCCACCAAAGCCGATGGTGGACAACCAGCCCGCCATCGCCCTCGCGAAGAATCCGGTTCTGCACGACCGGAGTAAACACATCGACGTGAAGTTCCACTTCCTCAGGGACTGTGTTGATGGAGGGTAGATCGTCATCGAGTTTGTCGAAACTGGTCGGCAACTCGCGGACGTCCTCACCAAGCTGCTCGGAAGACTTCGACTCACGGAGCTGAAGGAGATGATCGACATGGAGGGGTTAGAAGGGTTAGCAGTAGGATTAGGGAAAGATGGTTAGCTAATCTACCGCCACCTTGTGTGAACACAGCAGAGAGGAAGGCGGCGCCGACTTAGCTCGCTGCTTGTGTGTGAACACAAGCAAGGGAAGGCGGCGCCGACTTTGCCCCTCTTGTGATACAAGCAGCAGCCAGAGGTGCAGGCGCCGACGGCTCACCTACAACATCAGTAAAACAGCAAATGGCGCAGCAGAGTCACCACTGTCGGGTTATCTAGTTATTTGTGCCAGCATGGGCGCTGCACATGGACTAGATAGTTAGAGTTGTATAAATAGACATGTATGGCAACTCAGTAAAGAGAGCTCAGATTTGCCATCACACAGATAGGGCTTCGGCCAACGCTGTTACCTTGTAGTGTGCGTGCTTGCTCTGTTCTCCCTTCCTCTTCTAGCTCGATCTGTAGTGTGTGGGTACAGACAATGCCGGTATGTGGTCTGCACGGCTAGTGGGTGCTCGGCAACACTAGCGCGTGCTCGGCGAGACCGACAAGTGCTCCACTCGCCTGAGCCGGTGGTCGGCAAGATCGGCTGGAGTGGTTCACTGTCATGAGCCGGTGATCCTATGAGACCAACAAAATAGTCTGAAGATCATCTCGGTGGTCGAAAGGCTAACTGTAGGCCAACAAGCTAAATGTGTGAGGCCAAACTGAAGAACTCTCCGATTTGTGCTTGTGCAGGAATGATCCATCACGGAAACAGGCTGGGCAACCTGACGCGCTGAAGATCGAGACCCTGTATCACGCGGACAAGAAGAAGGCCGACGCGTGCATACTGGACCTGGTGGTGTGGCTCCACATCCTGATCAGCTACAGCAGGCCGCCAAACAACAGGTCACCGAGCCGATCCCCCGTGCGTTCCCCGGTGCACGCGGCCCCGGCGGTGCCAGCAGCAGCATCGTCCAGGGGCGCTGCTGCTGGGCTCACCCGGGAAGACCGCGAGATGCTGCAGGACGCGTACACCCGGCGGCGGTCCGCTGGGACGACTGGGAAGAGCAAGAGCCAGGAGCTGTCGACGGCGGGCCGCGGCCACAGGCTGGCGCTGAGCAGGAACGACAGGCTGAGCAAGAGCGGCAGCCACTGCTGCCCGTCGGCGTCCCGGGAGCGGGAGCACGGCGGCAGGGTCTTCCCCCTGGCGACGGGCAGGTCTGCCGCCTCGTCGTCGCCCGTGGTTGTTGGCTTCGACATCGACCGGATCAGGGGGGCGCTGGACGTGATGGACGTGCAGAAGCAACCGTGAGGTCGCTCAGCGCAGCGAAGCTGTGGAGGGCTCAGGAGACAGCAGAGCAGGTGGTGTATGCATGGCAATGCACGGCATGGGTGTCTGTGTACTGAAAGGCGTGAGAGGATCGTGAGTGTGAAGAGTGATGGGAAGGAAAGGAGAGGTGTAGTAGGCCAGGATTAGGATTGGGAAACCATGATGTGGCGAGTGATCGTGTGGATCACTAGCAGATTATGAGCTTAACTAGCATACATAATGCCTGCAGAAACAGTGCAGGATGGATATAGCACATGCATATACATACATAGGCAAGATTTTTTTTTGTCTCCTTTTTGTTTGTCTTGCTGTCGGCGGTCAGTCAGTATACGTATTTGTGTGTATGCTCCTGCCTCCTGGTTTGGGCTCGTTGACATCCATCCAAGATTGCTGTGGCGTGCATGCATCGCCTGGAGACGCAAGCAACCTGTGGGTGGATGGCTGCCTATTCCTGCCACCATGCCTTGCCTGCTGACTTGCTGAGTGGTGACTGCACTGCAATACAACAGAGTAGTACATGTACTGTACATGCTCGTGACCTTGAGAGGCAAAGGCCGAAAGGCGATGCTGAAGCAGCGTGCGTGTCAGGAAGCGAATCTTGCGATACCGCTCGCATAGGGCCCCCGGAACCCGGATGGCTGGAACCACCGGAGCGATCAGATCAGTGAGGAAGAATCGAAGAGACGGACGATTCAGCTGAAGAGCGAGCGACTGCTGCGTCAGCAGGGTCGGGGAAGTAATAGAGAGGGACGTCGACGCGGATGATGTGTGGGGTGGACTGGTGGTGGCTGTGTCCGTGTGTGTGTGTGCGCTACTACATACCAGGTAACCGGTTAACCGCCACGGGAAACGGACGATCTCGCCATGCCGCCGTGCGTACCACTACGGCACTAGCAGCTCGATCGCCCCTGCCCCCTGCCCTGCAGCTAGCTGGTCCATATGCGCCTAGACTGGAGTTGTTGTTGCCTGTATCTCTGTATGTGCCCATGCGGCTCGGCGATATCCATCCTTGTTCACAATGCGCCCGCCGTTGCATGGTTGCGATCCTCGCTCGGTGCCCGTCCACCCACCAGCCTTTGCAGCCCATGGAATGGCATGACGATCCTTCGTCTTTGCATCACATGGGCGGCGTACGGCTCAGAGACCAGAAGCAAGCAAGCAATGGCATAGTCGTCGATAGACCTTTGTAAACATCCGCTTCGTTCAACACCCGGCCCGTCGACAGGCACGTCCATCAAAGTCATATCTGTGTCCCATGCATGCTGGACGACGTAGACGTTAGGATACGAGTATTTATACCTACGTACGGCCACTCGCCCAGTGCCTTGCCAAAGTTTTACTCGCTCCATTCCAATTTATAATTCGTTTGATTTTTTTTACCCCAGGTTTGACCGCTCGTCTTATTAAAAAAATTTATACAAACATAGTCAAATTTAAGTTATTTTTGAAAAACTTTTGTTAATAAAGTAAGCCACAACATAAGAAGTTATATTTAGCATAAATTTTTGAATAAGGCGAGTAGTCAACCTTATGGTCAAAAAAGTTAAACAAACTATAATGTGGAACAGATTTAGTACTCAATTTTTGTTCCAAAACATAAAACCGAACCGCATGCTCCGCACATGCTTTTTGGCAAAGAGAGATTTGTACGGATATTGGGCCTGTTTGGTTCATCCCTCCTAAAAATAAACTGTCAAACAAACTTTAGTCATTTTAGCTACTAAACTGCCAAACCAAATAGGGGTGACTAAAATTTAGTCATTAATTTTAATAGCTAAATTTTAGTAATGAGAAACCAAACATGACCATTGTATTGGTGGAAGTACATGAGCAGGAATAGCAAGCTTCCGCGGTTCCAAAATCAAAGGTGCATATTCTCTTTGTTTCTTTTTATTTAGAAGATACATATAGTTTTGTACGTGTACATATATAAGTAATATATTACTATGACGATATGAGAAGAGATGTCCTAACCAATAATGGAAATAATATTGTAAAAAAAAATCTTAAATTTAGTTTTGAGGTAAGCTATGATGTCGATTTATTTGCTGGAGATTGCAAAACGATAAAGTAGTGTACATGCAAAAATCTTTCATGTAATCTACCTCGATGATTAACTCACGGAAAGCGATGAGGATGCCTCACCACAGATATATTATTGCGGCTCCAATGTGTTTCAGGCGAAAGTGCAAACGTCGAAGAGTATAATTCTTGTGTTCTTTTAGCATATCATTTGGGTCAGACATGTAATTTACAAATTTACTAGTCGGCTGTTTGAAACACCAACAGTTGGCATGTCAGGTAGGGCCTTTTGCGCGTCTCGACATCAACAACAGGCCTTGGTTAGCTAGTCATGACATCACCTGGGTCCCGGGCACGCACGTGCACTTTGAGGACCTAGACTTCATCATCATGACAGAAGGAGAGCTGGCGCGGGCACCCGTCGTCATTCAGCCTCTCCACTCCGCTGGCCTCGACGCGATCGCCGAGGCGCTTGAGCAGCTACGACTGCACGCACCAGAGGCCCTCGCCCCCGGGAGCGGCCAGCTCTTCGACTTCGACTACGGGAGATTGGAGCATCAGCTCGGCGTCTTCCTGGGACCCTAACTGTCCCGGGAGGGCCTACACCACCTCACCTTCTCGTTCGCCAACGTCATGGCGCAGCTTATCGGGGGAGAGCCACTCTCCCCGGAATACCTCATCCGAAGCGCTCCAACAGTTCTCTCGTTCGGTCTCTGCAACGCTGCAGAGACCGTTGGCCACCTTGTGGCGCAACGAATGATTCCATCCCCCACGAACGACGAGTTCGTGGGGGTGATCGAACACGTCGTGGAGTCTTTCCATGACCTCTTCGCAGAGAAGCCAGAGTCACCCTCTTGCTCTGATTCCAGCAGGGGGAGCCATCACCCCTCTCGTGAATGCTTCATGACAGATACCCCTGAGGGACGCTTCGAAACCATCCACGAGAAGGAGGCTTCCCGACGAACGACCTCGACGACGAGGTCGAGGGTACAGGAGCCCCACCCCGCCTACGGGTGGAGCAGCTGAAGGCCCGACACCTAGAGCTTGAGGAAGCGCGACTCCAGCTCGAGCAGGAACGCATGGAGCTCGATCGCAAGATCAAGCACCACGGAGACGGGGGGCGCGCATGCGCCATGGCCCGTGACGTGAATCGGAGGATCGTCTAGGACGATCAAGCGCTCCCACACTTCGCCTGGACAAGTCAGAACATCGCTGCTGTGGCAGCCTTGCTCAGGGGGCTTCCGGTGCCTACGATGCTCGAGGATCGATGGGCCCACCGTGAGATTCGCACGCTGCTCGAGCATGCAGCTACGTAGCAGGACGAGAGCTCGCTGTCTCAGCGACGAGAGCTCGATGGGAGCAAGCGCATGCCCTCAGTGCGACCCAATAAGGATGCATTAGTCCACTAGGCGCCGCACGGAGGTAGGCCACGCATCACTGTTCTGGTGCAGGAGCGTCTCGACAGCAACCGTGACCCGCGCGACACCCTCGACGCCCGCCGGCGTACCCACAGCGATACGGGGGAGGGGGCTAGCCACGGTACCACCCTCGACGGGGTGGACGCTATGACTGCGAGGAGGACTGGAGTCATAGCCCCAAACCAACGGTGCCCAGGCCTTTAGTTGGCATATCCTCAAGGCGACGCTCCCGCCCTGATACAGCCCGCTAACTAACATCCCAAAATAATCCGAGGAAACGAACCTCGGCTTGTCCCTTGAGGACTACCGGCTCACCTACCGGGCTAGCGGTGCGGTTAGTGACGACTTCATCATCCACAATCTCCCCATGTTGCTGGCCGACTCGGCGCGAACATGGCTAGAGCACCTTCCGCCCAACTACGTTCAGAGTTAGGCAGACCTAAAACAAATCTTCATGGGGAACTTCCAGGGCACTTACATGTGCCCTAGGTACCCCTGGGACTTGAAGAACTACCGACTGAAGTCGGGAGAGACTTTTCGCGAGTACATCCGACGCTTCTCCCGGCAGTGCAACGAGCTCCCCAATGTTGCTGATGCCGACGTCATCAGAGCCTTCCTATTAGGGACCACCTGCGAGTCCCTAGTCCATAAGTTGGGACATAAGGGCTCACAGACTACCAAGGAACTCCTTGAGATTGTGACCAGCCACGCTTCCGGTGAGAAGGCTGTTGGAGTAATTTTTTATTGCTCTAGAGGCAAGGTGAAGCAGAATGAGGACGCCGACGATGGCCCCTCTGATCATTTGAATAAGAAGAAGAACCGGAAATAGCACGGGGGCTTGCTTGTGGCCGTCGTCGAGCGAAAAGCCGGTCGAGCGTCGGTCGAGGGCACCCCCGATCACTTCGACAAGCTACTCAAGGGCCATGCCCAAACCATGCCATCCCCGTCAAACACATGTACAAGGACTGCTCCCTCATGAAGTGCTCCTTCACCGGTGGTCCAAGAAATGGGAGCAGAAGAAGAAGCCCGAGGCAGAAGCCGACGATGCCGGAGAGAAGGATGGTGGCTTTCCATTGCCGGATGGCTGCCTCGTGATCTTTGGTGGGCGAGAGGCATACGGCTCCAAGCACCGACAGAACCTCAGGCACCGAGAGGTTTACGAAGCAGAGCCTGCCACGCCTGCTTTCCTTAAATGGCCAGGGTCTCCCATAACCTTTGACCGATCCAACCACCCGGATAGCGTCAAACACCCAGGCAGGTACCCACTCATGGTCGACCCTATCATCGGCATAAAGCAGCTCACCAAGGTACTAATAGATGGAGGCAGCGGCCTCAACATCATGTATTCCAAGACGCTCGACGCAATGGGCATCGACCGAGCGCGCATCCGGTCGACCGGAGCGCCTTTCCACGGCATCGTGCCTAGAAAGCAGGTCATGCCACTTGGGCAGATCGATCTGCCCATCACCTTTGGGTCTCCATCCAACTATAGGACAGAGACCCTCACCTTTGAAGTGGTTGGGTTCCACGGAATCTACCACG